CTCACCGCCTGCTGCTCCCGTGGCAGCGCGCTGAGCATGCGTGCGGCCTCACGGCCTGCTGCTCCCGTGGCAGCGCTCTGAGCATGCGTGCGGCCGCCAGCGGCTGCCTCCAGGCCTGGGCTGGGAGGGGAGGCCAGGCCGCCATCGCCCACACACCCACACCTGAAACCTGTGTTTCCCCCATTTCACCTCCCTGTGTTTTTCTGACCAAACTCCAGGGAGCTGGAGCCCAAATGATGGGAAAGGGACCAGAGGGGTTCCCCAGAGACACCCAAACCCGGTCTGGGCCAGCTCAGTGTCCCCCAAACCAAAGCCAGACAACACTCATGAATGTTTATTGAGGTTTGGAGGGAGGCAGGGCAAAAGTGAGCAGGGAGCAGCTCTGTGGCTCAGTTTTCCGCCAGGGTCCGCTTCACCCAATCCAGAACTGCAGTGATGCGGGTGAACACAGCGGGAGTGTCCCCAGGGCAGAAGCCGCTGCCCCAGGACACGATGCCCACCTGGCTCCACACTCCCCCCTTCTTGCACACCAGGGGGCCACCAGAGTCGCCCTGCAGGGAGAGGGAAACAGGCTCTGGTTTTGTTGTAGCCCGGGCAGCCTGGCCTCTGCACATGCGTCCAGAGGACAGTCCATGGCCTGACCAGGACACCTCTGCCTGCTTTCTGGGTGGGTTGTGGAGGGTTTCAGCAGCTGCTGTGGGTTGAACTTTCTGGATGTCTGGGCCATTGTGTGACAGAAGTCGGTGCAGCTGAGTGCGTGCAGGGAGGCGCAGGAGGGCGGGCTGTGCGGGGCAGCGCGGCTGCGGCTCAGCCTCGGCTCTGCCTGGGCCCTGTCCAGGCTGCGCGGCTCACCTCCCGCAGCCGCCACGCACACGCTCACGGGGATCTGACACCATCGCAGCTGACACACTGCACCTGCCTCCCTCCCCCATCAGCCCTCACCCCGTACTCGGGCAGCCATGTCTAGAGAGAGGGGGGACAGTGTGGGCAGAACCGTCCTTGAGTGGAAAATTCCAGTGAGGTGACAGGGTCTGTGTATGTGCACACACACAGACAACAAGAAAGGAAAGGAAAAAGGAAGGAAGGAAAGAAGGAGAAAAGCAGATAAGGAGGAGAAACATGGGAATAAAGGAAAGAAGGAAGTCACGAAGGAATGAAAGAAGGGAAAGGAAAGGAGGAAGGAAAAGAAGAAGGAAATAAAGAAAATACTGAGAAAAATCTCAGTTCTGACATGGGTCGAGGCATTTCCGGAGGAGGGAAGAGGCTGCTTCAGAGACCCCTGTGGCCCTGGAGGAGCCAAGGTCTCCGCAGCAGCAGCAGCAGCAGCAGCAGCAGCAGCAGCAGCAGCAGCAGCAGCAGCAGCAGCAGCAGCAGCAGGGAGTGGGGGGAGGGCAGGGTCTTAGAGAGGAGCAGCCTGGGGAAGGTGCTCCAGGGCCTGGGATGAGAGGGACAGAAGCAGAAGGGTGACCACGCCCATTCCGGTGACCACGCCCCCTAGACACACAGTGTCCCCGCTCCTCCCTCACCCACAACCCTCCCTGTGGCTTCGCCCCTGAGCCGTGGCCCCACCCCTCCCTCACCCACCCCTTTAAGTGGCCCCGCCCACGCAGTGGCCCCGCCCCCCGGGCCGTGACCCCGCCCCGCGCCTTGGCCCCACCCCTCCCTCACCCACCCTTTCACGTGGCTGTGCCCCAAAGCAGTTGCCCCGCCCCTGAGCCGTTGCCACGCCCCCGCCGTGGCCCCGCCCCTGCCTCCTCCCGGCTGTAGGAGGCCCTGGGAACCCGCAGCTGGCCGGGAGAGGCCCGCCTCCCGCAGGCTGGGAGGCCCAGCTGTGCCGCGGCCCTGTCCTCGGAGGCCCAGGCTTTGTACACAGTTGTGACAGGCAGTGGGGCGGCGAGTGGAGGGACAGGGCCGGCTGGGCCGGCTGGGCAGGGCCCACAAGCGAGGCGGGAGCAGGCATTGCTGATTTCTGCCCCCCCCCCCCATTCCGGGACTCGGGCCTGGTCGCTGTCCTGTGCTGCTTTGGCTCAAGGCTAGCGCTATACCACTTGGGTCACATCTCCACTTCCAGACTTCGGCTTCCTGTTTGAGGGGTCGTTAATTGGCAGTTTGCATCTGGTGGGCTTCCTGACCAGGCTGGCTTTGCTGCACAATCCACAGGTCTGAGGCTGGTGGCGAGGCGTACAGGCTGGGCTGCTGGCACCATGCTGCAAGGCTGGCTTTTGATACCAGTCAGCGTGTGTAATGACGACGTATTACTTGAAGAAGGAAAAAGCCAGCCAGGCCAGGGGAAGTGCTTGCGGGCCCGAGGGTGAGGACCGAGCCCCAGCTGTGGCCCTGCTCCCTCTCAAAGTGACCTGCAGCACCCACCCAGCATCCTGGCCAGAGCCAAGGTCAGACGCCTGACCTCCGTGGGGTGGCTCTTCCTGGGAGGGGAACAGGGCTGGGGGGAGGGCAGGCGTACCCCCAGGCACTCTCTCGTGGTCAGTCCCCACGGGCACGAAGGCTTGGCCTGGCTGGGAGGAGGGCAGGGCTGTGACTGGCACATCGCCGTCCTGGCTGTGGCGTGGGATAGCCTGGGAGCAGCTTGTCTGCAGCCTGCAGGTTCCAGACGCTTCCTTCTGGCTGCACGGCTTAGGCCTCCCTAAGCCTGCCCGCCTCATCCACCCACAGTGGGCAGCCCCCCCACCCCAGCAGCTGTGCACCCTCTGAGCCCAGTCCTAGGACGCGGGCTGGGCCGGCTGTGTCTGCTCCTGAGGTGCTGGGTGTGCTCCTGGCCTTGTTCCCTGCTCCTCATGGGGGGAGGAGGTGACCCAGGCTCCTGGGTGCCTGCGCCTCCTCTCAGCAGAGCTGCCGCCCCTGCACACGATCCCACGATCGCAGACACCGCGCAGAGCACGCCCTGGCGTTGGCCTCCCCTGGCCAGAGCCTTCTGGCCCGTCCTTGGGCTGAGGGGCCGTGTGGCTCGGGCTGGGGCTCTGCAGGGGCCTGGGAAGGAGGCAGCGGTGGAGCTGCCACCGTGGGAAGAACCCCAAACCCACAGGTGCGTGCGCGGCGCCTCACCGCCTGCTGCTCCCGTGGCAGCGCGCTGAGCATGCGTGCGGCCTCACGGCCTGCTGCTCCCGTGGCAGCGCTCTGAGCATGCGTGCGGCCTCACCGCCTGCTGCTCCCGTGGCAGCGCTCTGAGCATGCGTGCGGCCTCACGGCCTGCTGCTCCCGTGGCAGCGCTCTGAGCATGCGTGCGGCCGCCAGCGACTGCCTCCAGGCCGGGGCTGGGAGGGGAGGCCAGGCCGCCATCGCCCACACACCCACACCCTGTGTTTCCCCCATTTCACCTCCCTGTGTTTTTCTGACCACCCTCCAGGGAGCTGGAGCCCAGAGGGGTTCCCCAGAGACACCCAAACCCGGTCTGGGCCATTTCAGTGTCCCCCAAACCAAAGCCAGACGACACTCATGAATGTTTATTGAGGTTTGGAGGGAGGCAGGGCAAGAGGGAGCAGGGAGCAGCTCTGTGGCTCAGTTTTCCTTTAGGATCTGCTTCACCCAATCCAGGACCGCAGTGATGCGGGTGAACACAGCGGGAGTGTCCCCAGGGCAGAAGCCGCTGCCCCAGGACACGATGCCCACCTGGGTCCACACTCCCCCCTTCTCGCACACCAGGGGGCCACCAGAGTCGCCCTGCAGGGAGAGGGAAACAGGCTCCGGTTTTGTGGTAGCCCGGGCAGCCCGGCCTCTGCACATGCGCCCAGAGGCCAGTCCATGGCCTGACCCAGGACACCTCTGCCTGCTTTCTGGATGGGTTGTGGAGGGTTTCAGCAGCTGCTGTGGGTTGAACTTTCTGGAAGTCTGACCCACCCAGGGGAGCATACATGACAGAAGTCAGTGCAGCTGAGTGCGTGCAGGGAGGCGCAGGAGGGCGGGCTGTGCGGGGCAGCGCGGCTGCGGCTCAGCCTCGGCTCTGCCTGGGCCCTGTCCAGGCTGCGCGGCTCACCTCCCGCAGCCGCCACGCACACGCTCACGGGGATCTGACACCATCGCAGCTGACACACTGCACCTGCCTCCCTCCCCCATCAGCCCTCACCCCGTACTCGGGCAGCCATGTCTAGAGAGAGGGGGGACAGTGTGGGCAGAGCTAGGAGGCCGCACCATGCAAGGGGAGGTCCCGTCACTTCCAGCGCAGATCATGTCATCTGTGACCAGGTCGCCCCAGATCTCCTTACAGACTGGAGTGGACACGAGGGGCAGCACTGCCTGCTGCAGCGTGGGTGCTCTTTGATGGTCTGGAAGGGCAGCGGAGGGCGAGGTCAGTGCCACGGCGCTGCCCAGCCTGGCAGCTCCCACCTCCACCAGCCCCCGGACAAGCTGCTCACCGTCGTATTGGGTCTGGCCCCAGCCTGTGATGACGCACGGTGTCCCTGGCGGGAAGTCAGCCTCGTTACAGGCCAGACACACGGCGGACACAGTGTCAGTGAAGCGGGCCGGGGTGGCCAGCTTCAGCAGCGCGATGTCGTAAGTACCACTAATGAAATAATTCTCATTCGGGAACACCTTTGGAGGAGAACAGAGTCCCAAGTGAGGCCCAAGGAGGAGCCCAGGCTCTCTGATATTCTGGGGGCCAACTCCTTCCCTGGGGGTCCGTCCAGCAGGCCCGGCTACCTCTGCAATGTCCAAGACCTGGACACCCTGCTCATCAGGATCCAGGTTAAACGCCCCCGCCACCACCTTGTCATCTGTCCTACACATGGAGACAGGTAGGGGTGAGATAGGAGAGAGGCTGATCCCCTCCTTTGCCCTCTAGAGCCCACAGGACTCACGTGACCCCACAGTGGGCAGCAGTGACCACCCATTCCTCGCTGATCAGGGCGCCACCGCAGAAGTGGAAGCCTTCATACTGGGGAGGAAGAAGGGGACTGTCACAATTCCACCAGGACAGCACCCCATGCTGACTGCCACCCACACTGCGCCCATGCCCACAATCCCCCTCTCACCTGCAGGGACACCTGCCAGGGCCAGGAGCCAGGGACAGCGTCCTCCCCATTGACCACCCTGGACAGCCCACTGACCTTAGTAGGGATGGCGGTTATCCCGCAGCCTGGGGACACAAGGAGGTGACAGCCAAAGTGGGCACTGGGACCCCGCCAGGTCTCACCTCCTCCCACCTCCAGTCTCCTCTCACCCTTGGGGGACCCTGGCTGGCTCCTCCCTTCCCTTTGCCCTGCCCCCTGCCCCCCCCACAAACCTGGTATCCCACATTTGCAGCTCAGTGTGAGGCGAGCAGGAGCCTGGTCAGAGAACTCAGATTCTTGCGCCCCGCTCAGCTCCCCTTCCAGACAAATACATACACACACAGACATGTAGCGCGCAAGGCGGTCAGCAGGACCCATGGCTGCCTAGTTCAGCCACGCAGCTCAGTCTAAGAGAACTAAGAGAGCTGTAAAAGGACAAGTTTCTAGTGCTCACATCTGTGATCCTAGACACTCAACAGACAGATCTGACGATCATGGTTCAAAGCCAGCCTGAGGAGACACTCCTCGAGACTCTACTCTCCAATTAACCACCAAAAAAAGCCCAAAGTGGAGCTGTGGTAGAATGCTGGCCTTTAGTAAAAACAGCTCAGAGCCAGGGGCTAGGAAGGTAGCTCAGTGGTAGAGTGTTCGCCTCCCATGCATGAGGCCCTGGGTTCGATTCCTCAGCACCACATAAACAGAAAAAGCTGGAAGTGGCGCTGTGGCTCAAGTGGTAGAGTGCTAGCCTTGAGCTGAAGAGCTGAGGGA